AAATGCTTTGGAGACCCAGCAACGAAGAAGAAACGTGCCGAGCAGACGTTGTCGCAGAGGGCTCAAGTCACCGGTGAGACATGCCGAACCTATATTGAAGAGATTCTGAAGTTGTGCAAGTCGGTGGATGCCCACATGACGGAAGAAGACAAAGTGGGCCATATACTCAAGCGCATCGCCGATGACGTCTACCACTTCCTCATTGGCAAGGAGAGCCTGGAATGCGTGGCCGACGTGATTAACCACTGCCGAACCTTCGAGGCTCTTAAAACTCGTCTCATCACATCGAAGTTCGGACGTCTGGCCAACGTCACGACTGTTGCCAGCGTCGACGTCTGCCATAATTCTCTACCTGCGGACCTTTCCTCCACCATTCGTCAGATTGTACGGGAGGAACTGCGTCGCCATGTCTCTGTTCCCATGCAAGCTGGAGACCCGCAGTGCGATACACTATCCCCAAGCATAAATGCTGCGAGTTTCGACGAGCGCACTTACTCCACCCGCAGTCCACGGCTGAGGGCTCCGCCACCACAGGCTATACTTACGTCGAGTCGTCTTATGCGCCCCGCAGCAGTTATAGCTACGACAGCCAACCACCTCCGTTTGTGTCCGAGTGGCAACAGTTCCCTGAGCATCCTCTCCACACCGCAGCATTCAATGTGCCTCGAGAACGCCCCGTGTGCTACCAGTGCGGTGTTCGCGGACATATCGCCCGGTTTTGCCCATCGCGACGTCGCCCACGCACGACGTTTTTTGACCGACCAGCGATGCTTGCACGGTGAAGTCAACAGCCCGATTACGCCTACTGGCCTTCGGATTCAACTGCCCAGAAGCACGGGCACCGGCCGAACATCCGCAGTGACACGCCTGCCTCTGTGAGGAGCTTGACGCCACCTACCACGCGCCAGCGACGGTCCCCATCTCCACATCCCCGGCTGCGGCTTTCCTCTCCGCCACCGGGAAACTAGCCGGCGCGGCCGATGGAGGCGAGGTCGCTGGACGTACCGCTTTGCACACAAGTATGCCTCCATTAGTTCACATGCTTCACAACAAGGTTCATGTATTCATTGACGATGTTCCCACGATGGCTCTGGTAGACACTGGTGCAACAGTTTCTGTAATGAGTTTAGTTTTCAAGGAGAGACTTGGCCGCAAGGTTATGTTTTATTGGGATAAATCTTCTACTTTTAGAGCAGTCAGCGGCACGGCTTTGTGTACAGTAGGTGTGTGCACTGTGTCTGTTCGTGTTGCTGGTAAAGCGTTCAAGGCAGAATTCGCAGTGCTCGCTCATTCCACGCATGACGTTATCCTTGGAATTGACTTCTTGCAAGAGTGCCGTGCGACTGTCGACTGCGGAGCAGGCGAGGTTCTGTTGTCCGCCCTCGCCCAGCAGCCTCAGCGTAGCGGAGACGACAAACTCGTTGTAGTTAAAGACACTATTCTACCGGCATGGTCTACTGCCAGCGTGCCCGTTGCTGCTTCGAATGCCGACTCGAGTTTCAGTTCTCCTGATATTGTGATTGAGCCGTTGCCTTTGCCTTGCATGAAGAAAAACATCTTTCTGCCACGCTGCGTTGTGTCTCTCACCGAGGGAAAAACTAAATTATGGGTAGTTAACTGCTCATCCGAGTCTGTCGTACTACCAGAGGGAATGCGCCTTGCCATGTTTGAAGGGCAGTGCAGTATCTGCATAGGAGCTCTCAGCAGTGCGGCAAATTTGGACTATGCTGATGTATCCGGCACGGAATACGAATTTTATAAGATGGTTAGCAAGTCTATTCCCTCGCATAAGCGCAAAGTGTTGGTTACACTGCTGGCCAGGCACGCTAAAGTATTTGATTTTGCACGGAAGTCGCATAGACCTCAAACGCCCAACACACGCACTCGTCACAAGATCGACACCGGATCTGCGCACCCCCTCAGACAGAAACCTTATCGAGTTTCCGCGTCAGAGCGCAAGGTAATTTCAGAGCAAGTTAGCGAGATGCTAACCTCTGGCGTAATTCAAGAATCGTCAAGTCCCTGGGCCGCGCCTGTTATCTTGGTCAAGAAAAAAAAATGGGTCCTGGAGGTTCTGCGTTGACTACCGACGTCTCAACTCTATAACTAAGAAGGACGTGTACCCGCTTCCTCGCATCGATGATGTCATCGACTGCCTGCATTCAGCGTCCTATTTTTCATCGGTGGACTTGCGATCCGGGTATTGGCAGATCCCCATGGATCCGGCTGACAAAGAAAAGATGGCCTTTGTTACACCAGGCGGTCTGTTTGAGTTTAATGTTATGCTATTCGGCTTGTGTAATGCCCCTGCCACATTTGAAAGATATATAGACACCGTTTTACGGGGCCTAAAATGGGAAATTTGCCTTTGTTACCTGGACGATGTGGTGATTTTTGGCCGAACATTTGAAGAACATAATCATCGCCTTGACCTCGTTCTACCTGTCTCGAGGAAGCTGCGCTTACACTGAACTCAAAAAAATGTTGCTTTGGAGAACGTGAAACCTTGGTTCTGGGACACCTGGTGGATAAAAATGGCGTGAGGCCGGACCCGCAGAAAGTCGCCGCTGTCAACAACTTCAAGCAGCCGCAGTCCCCCAAGGAGTTGCGTAGCTTCCTGGGCCTGTGTTCTTACTTTCGTCGATTTGTTCTGAATTTCGCTGATAAAGCACAACCACTGACTGACTTGCTGCAAAGAGATGTCCCTTTCCACTGGACACCGGATTGCGAAGCAGCCTTTAAGCAGCTTCGGTTCATACTGACTTCAGGACCAGTACTACGCCATTTCGATCTTTCTGCTGAAACGGAAATTCACACAGATGCCAGTGGAATCGGCCTTGGTGCAGTGCTCGTTCAGCGCCATGACAATGCTGAACACGTGGTCGCTTACGCGAGTCGTTCGTTGAGCAAGGCAGAACGAAATTACACAGTCACAGAACAGGAGTGCCTCGCAGTCGTTTTCGCCGTGCACAAGTTTTGCCCATACATCTACGGCCGTCGCTTCTCGGTAATCACCGACCATCATTCTCTATGCTGGTTGGTAGGCCTCCGAGACCCATCTGGACGACTGGCGTGATGGGCTTTGCGCTTACAGGAGTTCGACTTCACAGTACGCTACAAGAGCGGTAACCGGCACGCAGACGCCGACTGCCTGTCGCGCCTTCCTCTACCGACGACGGAGTGCGACGCTGAAAACTTCGACCAGTATATCGGCGCTATTGCCTCTGAGTTCCCTGATCTCGCGACTTTCTGGACAGCCCAACAAGAGGACCGCTCCTTAGATTCTCTGTTCGCCTCCGCAAATGAACACGCAAACCCAAGCTCTTTTGTGGTTCATGACGGCGTCCTTTACAAGAAGAATTATTCCGGACAAGGCGCCCGTCTGCTTCTAGTTGTTCCACGCACTTTACGGGCTCACGTCTTTCGGTCCTTACACGACGACGCAACCTGCGGCCACATGGGCTTCGCCAGAACGCTTCAACAAATCCAGCAAAGGTTCTATTGGCCCAAGATGCGACACGACACGGAAAAATACGTTGCTGGATGCGAACAATGCCAACGACACAAACGTCCCACGGCTACGTCGCCAGGACTTCTCCATCCTGTTCCACCTTCTAACTCTCCCTTCGAGACTGTTGGTGTCGATCTGCTCGGTCCATTTCCACGATCGAACAGTAACAATCAATGGGTCGTAGTCTGTGTTGACCACATAACGCGCTACGCAGAAACTGCTGCAATAACCTGCTGCAACGGCCATGCACGTGTCGCAGTTTATGCTTCGCTGTGTAATTCTCCGCCATGGTCCTCCACGTGTTGTCATTAGCAACCACGGACGTCAGTTCGTTGCCGACGTCGTTGAAGAGATCCTGCGTCTGTCTGCCTGCCATTTCCGCCATGCCACACCATATCACCCGCAGACCAATGGTCTCGTAGAGCGCACGAACCGGACTCTCACGAACATGCTGTCTATTCATGTCGATTCTAAGCACAAAAACTGGGACGAAGTGCTACCTTACATCACGTACGCGTACAATACCGCGAAGCATGAGACTACAGGTTACTCTTCATTTTACCTGCTGTACGCTTGCTCCCCACGAGTTTGTCTCGACACTATACTACCTTTTACACTAGACGTGGAAACCTCGACAGCCGAGACGCTCTGCCGCGCAGAAGAAGCCCGTCGCATCGCACGCCTCCGAACCTTGGCATCCCAGCAGCGTTCTAAGAAACGTTACAACGCCTGCCATCGCTCCGTATCTTATAGTAAGGGCGATCTTGTGTGGTTATGGACACCAGTCCGCAAACGTGGTTTGTGCCAGAAGTTCTTGGCTCACTATTCCGGTTCATTCGTCATTCTTGACCGCCTCAGCGACGTCACGTACGTAATCTCGAGCGTCACAAGCAATGGTCGCTGCTCTAGCAAAACACAACTGACACACGTTGCGCGCCTTAAACCGTGCCACCATCAATCATCTGAGTGACTCGCCCGGAGGGCATCGTCTGCGAACCGGTAAGTGAAACGCGCTAGCGAAGATTCGACGAAGTGGAGGAAGAGACTGGACTGGCTCGCGAGTGACGCTGTGGATCCTTGGCTGAGCTACACCTCTGCATTACCCATCTTGTAAATAAACGCGTTCCATCGTCACAATATATATATATATATATATATATATATATATATATATATATATATATATATATATATATATATATATATATATAATAATGGATATGTCTTGCAGTGTACATACTTCGTGCCCCATTCAGCAAAAATGCTGTAGGTTGACTTCCAACCACTCATCATCGGAAAATTGTTTATTGCCTTGAATAATCACTAAGTTGACGTTCTATTTCGACGTGAATAAGAGTACCGGTATTGCCTAAATGATACAAATAATATATTATGCTTTAAGGGTTACTGCATGAGCACGCGGAACAAGCAACTCGACGATACGGAGTAACCTCGCGAGTTGTGACCGCATCTTGTACGAAACAGATACACAACGAACCGAGGTTTTTCTTCAGAAAGAAGGGCGATCCGCAGCACTGGACAACGCCGTTGGACATGATGGCGATACGGTCGCCAATGGCGTCGGCCTCTTCCATCGAATGCGTGGTCAGCAGTATGGTGCGCTGCACCTTCTCTGCCAGGAGCAAGTCCCACATGTCGCGCCGGGCCGCCGGGTCCATGCCAGCCGTTGGCTCGTCCAAGATGACAACCTGCACGTAAAGTTGCACTCTTGTACTCTTGGTAGAGATAGAAGTGCTGCTCTAATCGATCCAAACTGCTCCAAAAGAGAAATGCTGCTCAATGCTACTGCAAACAGTAATTTTTGTTTATAATTGCTCCAAACCTGCTCCGAAAGGGCACTGAAAGAATGAGAATGACAAACTTTTACTTTGACCAACTAATTTTTTTTTGTAATTGTTGTCATTTACACGTTGTTCTCGAGTGTTGTACGCATGTCAACTAATAGTCCTAAAAAAAAAAACTTAAAAGAATTTGTGTACTATCATCTCAATGTGATACTGGTGCGCAGCATTATTGGCTCTGATCTCATTTATGCAACAAGAACTGGCATATATCAATCGTATAGCTTATTTATCTTTTTTTCAGCGATATATTTGCAAGCCAGTGCAATAAAATGAAAAAAAAATGAGCTGAATAGCTTTTACCTCATACCGATTTACTGCTTATTTGGCAACAGTTGTATGAGAGTGTGGTTACTTTTAATCTGTGGCGCTGTGCTAAAATTACCGGTCTGATTTAATTTGTGCCACAAATACTAGTATATCAATTATATAGCTAATTTCATGGCACATTTCTGACAACCAGCCTTCTTAATAATTGTTTGCTTCTTGAAATTTACGTTGATTGTTGTGTGGTAAATATATTTCATAATAAATATTATTATTTACGGGATGCTTCGACAAGGCTTTAAACTCCACTTAATGTATGGCAAATTTTTCATCTGCTCCTAAAACACCAATACTGCTCAAAACTAGCGTTGTTTCCGCTGCGAAGACACTTAAGGCTGCTCCAAAACAGTACTTCCCCTGTACTCCTTTACAACTTTTACTATCTCGATACCTATCACAAAGCGCTGTTCTCTACCGAGACTGTTGCATATTACTTTAATGTTATGCATGTGCCAGACCTACTCCTTTGCTTTCCGTGTCCAGATCAGTAGTCATGAGCTTTAATTATTCCCTTGAGTTACTCATCAAAGCAATGTCGTCCGCGAATATCAGTTTGTAAGATACTCTCCATCCACTCTTATTCGTAACTTTTCGCAAATCTGGGGCTCTGGTAACCTACTTTGAACATGCGGTGAATAACATTGAGAGAATGTGTCTCCCGCCTGATTTCATTTCGTTGCTTTTCGGCTACATGAAACTATAAAGAGTGGCGTGCGGCGATACTGCCTTATGTGCTTTTGTATTGTATTTGTACACTAGTGAGCAATCGAGTAAATGCTTACCTTCGAGTGTCCTATAAGAGCGATGGCTATGGACAGCTTTCGCTTCATGCCGCCGGACAAGTGTTTGGCGAAAGTGTACGCCTTCGACACCATATTCATGAGAATGAGCAGGTTGAACGTCTGCTCGTGCGCATCGTTGTAGGGAACTTTCTTGAGCTGCGAGTAGCGTGGAGTCGATTAGAGCCCTTCTTGAACAACAGCTGGAGGATTAATTCTCGCATGTGAATTTTGCGAGGGTCTTTTGCACCATCGATAAACCGGCCCGAAAGCCCCAGTGCTAAATCGTCAAAGACTGAAACACCCGCCAGATTCCAATGAGTGACTTGGCTGTTCGCGCCTTATTTGATGCTTGTCGAGCATTCTGTGCCGTTGCACAAACCTTCAGCATTCCATACAATCCCCCAACACCTGGCTCAGCGTCTTACATTCAGCGCATTTCAGCGTTACTTCATAGCCGTTAGCAGGCGCAGTCACGCTATAACGCCAAATTTTAATGCTCTTCAAGCAGCAGGCGTCGCAATGTGGATGCTTTGAATCACGTCTGCTGCACCAGGGGATTTTATTTATCTCTTCTGTCACCTTGTTTCCACGATTTCACACAAAGTGAGCCCAGAACACGCGTGGTCATGTGATTTTTTTCCGCTTTCGCGTTCGTACGATACAGGCAAAGTTTTTACCTCAGTAAATAAGCCTGCCTCGTGCTGTACGCCCCGCCACGGTGGTCTAGTGGTAAGGTACTCTGCTGCCGACCCGCAGGTCGTGGGATCAAATCCCTGCGGCGGCTTCATTTTCGATGGAGGTGAAAATGCTGTAGGCCCGTGTGCCCAGATATGAGTGCACGTTAAAGAACCCCAGGTGGTCGAAATTTCCGGAGCCCTCCACTACGGCGTCTCTCATAATCATATGGCGGTTCTGAGACGTTAAACCCCACATATCAATCAATCAAGTGCTGAAGGAACATTTTCGATTCGGTGTACAGAAAAGTGTTTGGAGGCGAGTAGTGGGTGGTGATTGCCGCATATGTCACCTAAAAAAAATTGCCCGCAGCTTCCCTCGGGGGAACACTGAGGAGGATGCGGACCATATAATTGGTTAACGGGGTGTTAAAGTGCGACTTACTTGGGTCGATGGCTAAATTGGTTAACGTGGTTGTGAAATGGGGTGTTAAATTGCGACTTACTTGGGTCGATGGCTAAATTGGTTAACGTGGTTGTAGGAGGGGGTGTTAAATGAGTGAACACGTACACACGTATGCGAAAGGGCGGCGCTGGTCGAAGGGACGTCGATCATTGTGTTTGTGGATTCGTTGGAATTCATTTCACCGCGACCTTGGACGTCGACGCGCCGTACAAACCAACCGACGAGCGGCAACTGAGCGAGCGAGCGCCGACCTTGTGTATATATACAGCACGACGGCGCATGCACTGTCAGCTGTTGAATGTTCTCGAAGCGCGACGCCACATGCGCGTCGACTGGAGAATCAGGAGAATTGTAGATGTCGAACGCGGTGTGTAGAGGAGGAAGGGTGCACAGATGGTGGAGGAGTGAAGCGCGCGCGGTGTGTAGAGGAGGAAGGGATGCACAGATGGTGGAAGAGTGGGCGACGGCGCGACGGCGCATGCGCGCGCGTCAGCTGTCGAATGTTCGAGAAGCGGTGCGGACGGCGCGGACGGCGCACTACAAGGCGCGAGTATAAGATGCTCCGCATCTAAAAAGCTGATTGATTACTTATTTGATTGATTTATGGGGTTTAACGTCCCAAAACCACCATATGATTATGAGAGATGCCGTAGTAGAGGTTTCCGGAAATTTCGACCACCTGAGGTTCTTTAACGTGCACCCAAATCTGAGCACACGGGCCCACAGCCATTTCGCCTCCATCAAAAATGCAGCCGCCGCAGCCACCTAACAAAACTAAGGCTGGGGCTCACAGTTACAACTGTCGTGTTAACTAAGCTTTGTGGTCATCCTCGATACAGCCCAGCGATATATGAGTGCATACATTTAATGGAAACTACGTTGATATAGCTAGATATTCCGAGAACATGTTGTTCTCAGCTTCTTATGCTAGAGTCTTGTATACATATAAGGCTACGATACATAACCAGTCGACGCTTTAGAATTCAAGGGCCTATATATACTGCGATCACTAAGTTTAAAGCAGGTACCATTGACTGACTTCCCCGAAAAGGCTATGTCCACCTCATTATCCGAATTGCAAATTATATAAGCTTTATGCTCTTTCCTTGCTCATCAACACCATCTTACCCTTGAGAAGAAGTAGAGGTGCTCGAAGACGGTCATGTCCCGGAAATGGATGTCATTCTGCGGACACACGCCCAGGCTTTCATGCGCCGCTCGGCTGTTGACGTTCACGTCCTGGGATTCGATGAACACCGAGCCGCTCGAAGGAGCTAGCTGCCCTGAAGGGGACACGAACGAAACGCAGTCAGGCTATGTCTTACCAAGTTCCCTCTAACCTTTCGAGTTCTTCTGTGCATTTATTGCTATGCCGTCCATGACTCCCAACGTTTAAAACTTCCTCACCTAAATCTCTTGAAGTCGTGACTTTAAACTGCAACACGTATGGACTCTCTCTTGAATAGTAACGGAATGAGAGCAGCTCAAAGTATACCTGACTTCTAGGTAAACTTTCCGCTACCCCTTATTTTCAAGCTCATGGGCCTTGAAAGCCGTCAACATGAGTAATACGCACTCACCGGTGATCATTCGCATGGTGGTCGTCTTGCCAGCGCCGTTGTGGCCGAGTAGAACGGTTATGTACCCTTTGGACGCTTCCAAGTTCATATTGCTCACCACCGTAGTCTTGCCGTACACCTGGACATAAATAACCAAAATGATCATGCCGGTAGACCTCATCGTTGTTTTTAGTGCTGTAAACTGCAGAATGCATAACTGCAAACAGCTTCAGCACACCTAAAATTCAAAGTCGCACCTTGTGAATATCCCCGAAATTGATTTTGACGTCTTTCTAACATATGGTACAAGTCGGCAGGGCGTATGGAGAAATAGCACTGGGTATTTACCTTAATAAAATGTGCGACTAGTGCAGTGCGGTGTTTTATTAGAGGAAACATCTTATTGTACGACTATTGCTTTATTGACAATCATTCAAGTGTTGTTAGTGCACCATAGAGCAGGGGGTTAGTACAAGTGCCACGAATCCCGAGTCCTCTCGTGCAAACAAGGGTGGATGCACCCAGGCTTTCGCACATTGTCACATGGGCTTCTTCTAACAGCACGCGTAGACGGTTTTCTATACTTCAACCTCGAACTTTTAGCCCGAATGCTTTGGAAGATACAGGTCCCATCGTTGGTGTTCGAAATCTGACGTTATTCGCCCCGAGATCGCGCTAAAGGTGGCAGCACGATCACCGCGCTATAGCGGTGATATAGGCGGCCGGTGGTGCGCATACAAATGTACGCAGCGGCGCTTTTTCGTGAACGGTCTGCGAATTAAATGCATAACGGCGGCCTACTTGTGATTCGTATGTCTTCCATCGCCGAATGGATGCAAGTAGCTTGCCGCACGTTACTACTGCTCGAGGGAGAAACACAAACGCCCATTGAAAAGCAGGGGCTTATAAAAAATATATACGCAAGCTATATAAACAAAATCAAGGCTAGCTGAGCTCCCCCCACCCCTCAAGTGGCTACGCCGCTGTGGTTGAAAAGGATGGTCATGCTTGGTGGCTGTCAGCGATTTCGCAATGCCACATTTCTTGTATTTTATTTATAAAGGTTGAGCTCGTGCCCCGCCTACTATAAACTGAATTTCTTATTTTCTCCAGATATGCTGCTCCTGGACACTAAAAAAAAAAAATCCCGTATTTTGGGCGATGATATAAAGTAACCGGGAATACGCATCCGTATTTTTTCTTACTCAGTTCTCCGTAAAATTTACATAGGGCAGTTGATGCTCATTCAAGAAACCTACGTCGCTGACAGCGCTTCAGGGTGCTTGTTCTTGTTTCAATAACAGCATGAAAAGGTAATAGTCGAGCACACAGCTTTCTTCGATTATCTGCATCACAGTGGTGAGCCCCGCCGCTGTAGTCTAGTGGCTGAGGTACTCCGCTGCTGACCCGCAGGTCGCGGGATCGAATCCCGGCTGTGGCGGCGACATTTCCGATGGAGGCGGAAATGTAGGCCCGTGTGCTCAGATTTGGGTGCACGTTAAAGAACTCCAGGTGGTCGAAATTTCCGGAGTCCTCCACAATGGCGTCTCCTATAATCATATGGCGGTGCGGTTTTGGGGCGTTAAACCCCACATATCAATCAATCAATCAATCAATCAATCAATCAATCAATCAATCAATCAATCACAGTGTCACACAAAAAAGGTCGGTTGTTTATTGAAACAAAAGTATATATATATATATATATATATATATATATATATATATATATATATATATATATATATATATATATACATATATATATATTTAAATACAACGGTTCAGCTGACGCTTTATTCAAGCAACAGCAAGATGGCGCCGACGATGAAGAGGAGCGGGCGAAGACTGATGATGGTTATTGACGGATGAGGAAAATGACGTCCAATGAATTCTTACACTAATTTCCCCCGTCGACGAAAGCGGCCAGCCTGGCCGCGAATCACGCTGGGGAACGCATACGATAGGGCTAGAGACGTGAAACGTGAACAATCTCTGTCCCGCGGCAGCGTTGGTCAGTGGGGACATGAACAGGTGTGAGAAGGTAGTTCACCGGTGAGGTCTGTTCGACAACTGTCAATGTCAATCGTTCTCGTCACGTAATACCAAGTTTGGTACATGTGAAGCTAGTGAAACGGCTGTGAGCGCATCATGAACGTAGCATGTAGTCATGTTGTTACATGACACGCATCTCACGTTTATAATATTTGCACAAGTCACACACCTTCGTGATCCGTTGACGTACTTAATACCAAAAGAAGTGTCAGAAAGCGTCATCCCGCGACCATCGTAGCTAACACCGAGTTCACGTCACGATCTGCAGTGTTCCGAGCACGTCTCGGAATCACGGGGGCCTTGCACCCCCTTACGTTCTGCTGCTAACACTTTTCCCGTTCAACTCATTTACACCAATGTAAGAAGTCTCATACCTAAACCAGACCAATTACTACACATATTAGAAGCTACAGAATGTGATTTCGTCGTATTAACTGAAACTTGGTTGAATGAGTCGATTTCTGATGCTGAGTTGGCACTCCATTTCCCTGGTTTTGATGTTTTTCGTTGCGACCGCATCGGTAGGCGGGGAGGTGGTGTGCTCATAGCGGCTCACAGCAGGTTGTTATGTAATGTTATAGCAATTTTCAGTAACTTAGAAGTACTGTTTTTATTCTGCAAAGCACTTTATCCCCCCGCCATTATCGGTGTGTGCTACCGCCCACCTGACGCAGACCGGTCGTTTGTTGCCGAATATCATGATGTTTTGCATTTACTTTGTGGCTCTTATCCCAATGTCCCAATTATACTACTTGGAGACTTAAACTTTCCCGGAATAACCTGGTCTGATTCGTCGCTAACTTTGTCCAAATGTAGCGCGGAAAGTGATTTCGTTAATTCCCGCCTAACATTTGGACTTTCACAACTCGTTTACACCCCTACGAGAGAAACTGCTCAGTCATCAAGTATCCTCGACCTTTTGCTAACATCGTACCCAGATACTGTTTTAACCGTCTCGTACCTGGCTGGGCTAAGTGACCACGCTATAATAAATGCTACACTACAGTTTCACTCCCCAAGATCGAAAACCGTAAAGAAAAAACTAACACTTTACGATAAAGGCAACTACATGGCCATTAACGAGGAACTCGCAGCATTCTACTGCTGGTTTTGTGAAGACGTTTCACAACGCCCAGTCGGAACAAACTGGTGTCTTTTCAAAAACAAATTGCACGATCTCATTCGTTCTTACATCTCCACCTTAATGGTAACAGAGCGACCGCAGACACTATGGTTTAGTGTGACACTAAAGCGCCTAAAAAACAAAAAGAAGCGGTATTACCGGTCTGCCAAGTTATCAAAAACAGAGAAAGCGTGGCAAAAGTACCGCGTCACTGAAAAACTGTTCGATTCACTTGCCGTGAAATCCAAACGCAACTTCTTTGCTTCAACGTTACCGAGCATGCTAAACACTAACCCCAAGCAGTTCTGGAAATTTATCAACCCAAGCGCATCTAAAATGTTATCACTCTGTGACGAAAATGGTCAACCCATTCCACTACATGATACCGCATGCGTGTTGAACAACGTTTTTTGCTCGGTATTCACCGAAGAACCTGATAGCTAATTGCCCTACTTGTCCCCGACTGAATATCCGGTAATGAAGGAAATCACCGTTGAGGCTGCTGGTATTGCTGCCTTAATCGACAGCCTAAGGATGACATCATCAGCTGGCATAGACGGCATCAACAACAATGTACTAAAAAGTACAAAGAAAATCACCAGTGTCATTCTCTCTTGCATATTTCAGCAATCGCTTTCCGCTAGTACCCTACCACATGACTGGAAGGTGGGAAAGGTCATCCCAGTGCCCAAAAAAGGTAACCCAGCGTCACCGAGAAACTATCGTCCCATATCACTAACGAGTGTGTGCTCCAATTTAATGGAGCCCATTCTTCATTCACATATTGCGAAGTTTTTTTAGCTCGGTTAATTTCTTTCATACAAGTAAGCATGGCTTCCAGAAGGGCCTTTCCTGCGACACTCAACTGGCTCTTTTCATGAATGACATCAGTTCTAGCCTTGATACTAACACTCCCGTTGACGCACTATTTTCGGACTTTGAAAAAGCTTTTGATAAAGTACCCCATAACCGCCTATTCCTAAAGCTGTCTCGCCTAAACCATCATCTTGTTTTTCACTGGATACGTGATTTTCTGTGTAACCGTCAGCAATTTGTCTACGTTAACGAACGCTCCTCTTCACTCATATCTGTTACATCCGGGGTTCTTCAGGGAACGGTCCTCGGACCCCTGCTCTTTCTCATATACATAACTATCTTCCAACTGTAATGATGAATGTAGTGGGTCATGCAAATCTAGGCAAACACATTGTCAGTGCTAAGCATGAGACGCTCGGCCCTGACTGTCGCTGATTTCGCTAGCTGGGCCTAAGCTCCTACCTGGTCTCGAATAACAGTTTTGACTGTCTCAGTTCTTTATTATAATTGGTGGAGTTTGCGGGGTCTCCTTGCAATCCTGGAGTTGCGAAGCCGGACTCTACCTGCTGTCATGACCACTGCATCTGCCACAAGCCCTCCTCCTATGGCTTCCCAGGCCATCGTGTGCTTCGGCACGGTCCGTCAGCGGGATCCTCCCATATTCGGCGGCACTGACGATCACGACGTCGACGACTGGCTGGCTACTTACGAACTCGTGAGTGTCTTGAACAAATGGAACGAAGCCATGAGACTGCCCACTGTCGGCATTTACCTCAGTGGCATTGCCCACTTATGGCTTCGGAACCATGAGACCGACGTTCTCACCTGGACAGCATTCAAGGCAAAATTCAAAGAAGTCTTCGGTCGTCCTTCTGTCCGCAAACTTCGTGCGGAGCAGCGCCTTCAGTCGAGATCTCAACTGCCTGGTGAGAACTTTACAAGTTACATAGAAGACGTCATTGACTTGTGCAAACGCTTCGATGTGAACATGACAGAGGTGGACCGCATCAAGCATATTTTTAAGGGTATTGACGAGGACGCCTTCTAGATGCTCATTTCAAAAAGCCCTGCTACTGTCGCCCAAGTTACCGAGCTCTGCCAAAGCTATGATGAGCTCCGCCGGCAACGTCTCGTCACCCGCCGTG